ACCCATTAGTTGAAAAGTTGAAAGATAATAAACTCACCTCATAGCAGAAACAAAATCCTTGTCAGTGAAATCAAACTGATCAACATATGCATACATAACACGTAGATTGTACGGTTCATTTTCACCGAGAAAATAACCGATATGTGATTTTGACAAACGATCTTCAACTATGAGAAACTGTGCTACTGACTCAACAGATTCTCCAATCAATCCATTTTCTTGCAGTAATTGCAATCAACGAAGAGGTTGTTTTTGATTGAACAATGCTAATCCAGATTCATAAATTTCTTTTTGTGCCTTGCGAGATTCAAATGCTTCAGGGTCATCATAAGGCTTAACAGTGCCTAATTTCGATAAAAACATATATGTAATAATCAATTATAATATTTAAATATTTATTAAATTATAGCTACAATTATCTTTAGAAGTAAAAGACAGAGAAAAGATTAAGAAAAACCATTTAACACCAAAATGTTGAATAAAATCGGAATAGATCAAGAATCGAATCATGCAGATGCATGTCAGGGTATATTACTTACGCAAGTTACCCCTCGCAGAGGATCATAGGCCATCCACCAGCATTCTCCATCTGAATCTGTTCTAGACAATCCTTTCCAGTTGCTACTCATTCTTTTCATACCTGCTTCCAATTCCTGGTCTAGTGTGTTCTTTAGTCTTCCTCTTTTCCTTTTCCCTTCAGGATTCCGAGTTAGCGCCTGCATCGTGATGCTGTTTGATGATTTTTGTAATGTATGTTCTATCCAACACCACCACCAGACTTTTTCCAATTTCCTCTTCAGTTGGAAGCTGGTTTGTTCTCTCACACAGTAGGCTGTTGCTGATGACATCCGAACAACAACGGACATTGAGTATTTCGAATAGACAATTGTTTATAAATACGTGTACTTCTTTGGTGATGGTTGTTGTAGTGGTTCCCGAAGTATCAGCTCCATTCAGTAGAACTGTCTTGATGTTCATATTGAAGATTCTGGCATTGATGTTGGTTGAAAGTTGTTTCGAGTTCCAGATGTCCTTCAACTGTGAGAATGTTGTCGTTGCTTTGCTAGTCCTTTCTTTTACGTCTGCATCAGATCCTCCTTGTTCATCGATGATGCTGTCCAGGTACGTGAAAGTTTCCACCTCTTCCAGAGTTTCTCCACCAAGTGAGATTGTGTTGGTGTTCTGTGTGTTGTATTTGAGGATGTTGGTTTTTTCGTTGTGTATGTTGAGGCCTACTGATGCAGAGGCTGCTGCCACCCTAGTTGTCTTCATGTGCATTTGTTGGTGTGTATGGTATAGAATATTTAGATCATCTGCGAGGTTGAAATCGTCTAGCTGCATGCAAGCCGTCCTTTTTATTCCGTGCTTCCCTTGGGATGTGGAGGTCTTCATAATCCAGTCGTAAACCAGAAGAAATGGAAAGTGCAAGAATTTAAAGGTATATGGTGGCAACTATATTTGAGAACCAGTCTCAGCATAGTCAAACATCTTATTCTTGTTCGTATTACCAGTAGTTCATTCGCGCTACCTAATCTCGACTAACATTACTACTAGAGGGATTATTTATGGTACGAAACATATTTCAACAATCTGAATGGTTAACTGATTCCATCTATACTAGCATACACAATAAATATGCTTGATTAAAATTAAAAATTGAGTAGAATATACATAAACACATATGAATGGTATACACGATAAAACCAAAATTCTGTTTGCTTTCCATACTTCGAATTGAGCGAAATAATGTTATTTATTTTGTCAAAAGTGTCTATAGGACGTGAATGACCCATACAATACACCAATGTATATTTGATGCCAGAAGTCGTAAAACATTTTATTATAGTTGCGTAATGACGTTCTACGAACATTAGACTTTCCGTAATTGATTAGTTTAAGAAAACCCAAATTCATGAACATATAATTTTACCAAAGGAGTTATTTCATGTGCCTCAATAACATATATACCGGTAAATTTCCCCGTAAATTAATCTTACTAGTAAATATGAATGCATTTACATTACATGATCTAAATTAAACCACACTCATCTCAAAAGTTACAGTAGATTCACTTCAGTTAATATTGAAATCAAGGTTAAAGTCTAGGTTCCTGGAGAGGACTGTAAATGATTGAAATAATTAAATGAAAATCGTCAACTAATTGCACCATTGTGGGTGGTTCCGAGTGTTTGGTTTAATGGCATAAACACCTTTTCAAACTGACGTACGTGTTGTGGATTTGAAGTTATAAAAAATGGACAGAAACCGAGTATCTAGGCTGGGAGCACAGTTTCACTAAAATCACATGATAACGAGAAGGCTTATTTCTCATGAAGATCAGTTTATAATAATCAGCTATCGAGACTGAACTAATAAATAGTTATAAAATGAAGTCCTGAAAGTGGTGGTTGAATTCCAAGACGATCGAGTCACATATAATGTATGAAGTAATAGTACTGAATAAATATTGTTTGAAACTACTCACCTAGTGAAGTCATATTATGATTACCATCCACACCAGAATTCTCTACTGTATTAGTATTACTGCCACTATTCGCCAACATTGGTTCAGAACCCAAAAACGACTGAGATTCTGGATTAACATAAAGCTCCTGGGACCATTCAGTCATACAACGTAAAATCAGTACTAAACACTCTAAACCACTAGATCGTAGTATTTGTTGTTGTTGCTGAATTGATGACGACGTATTATTCCCATGTTCAGCGACTAGATAACGTCCTTGAGCTATTTTAGCTAAATCTGTTGTTAGTCGTTCGAATATGTTCGCCATACTTAAATCACAATCATAATTGAGATAAATATCAACTAAGCATTGTGCATCACCACATATACGTTTCAATGCATCAATAACAATTAATTTATGCCCATATGATGACTTGGATGACTCTAAAATGAGTAATAAGACATCTTTGAAGAATACTTCGATTTGTCTTTTCAAGTATGGTTTGAAATATGTTAATAGGGCAAGAAAAATAGCAACAGATAACTCGAATATTTCCACAATTGGTGAAGTGCCATTTTTAAATAAAGCTACACATAAATACTGTTTGATAGCAGCTATGAATATTTCACTCGTTGAAAATAACGGACCAGGTTGTTGTAACAAATTAAGTAATAATTGTAATGACAAAGATTTTGAGCGAACAGCATGTGATTTAGGATCATTTGAGTCTGAACCCGTGAAATCTTTCACTGCCAAACGACATAAGCTACGAAAAACAAGAAATGCATCCTTCTGTGTAACATGCGCTGAAGTGACAACTTCACAATTATTATCCACGACTAATGTAGAATTCGGATCTCTTAAATCCGACTCATGTATGTTATTGGTAGTTGTAGCAGTGGCATTAACAATACTAGGAGTGACATTACCACTTGACCATTCTTGATTAAGGCTAGTATTTACTGAAATTGAAATGGATGAAGAACGTGACGAATCTATGGATGATTTACATATATCAGGTAGCGATTCAGAATTTGGTATACAATGAGGTGATGACAGAGAATTACTATCGTCTTCGTCATCTACTGTGACTTTTTTTATTATGTCATATAGAATGTTTTCCACGATCTCATTAACTTTCGACTCAGAATCCTTGTCTTCTTTCGAAGGTATATCGCCATTGTCAGCATCAGGAGAATCACAACTGTTGATATGAGCATCGCCATTTAATAATTTTTCACCAGTATTATTTTCATCCTATATTACAGTAAAGGAAGATATACACCAACATGTTTGAAATTGTTTATATTCTAAATCTGATATTTAACTCACTGGAAAAATGGTTATTATCATTAAGATCATTGATCATTCAGAGAAACAGTGTACAAAACAGCCAGTATGATAGGATGATATATGAGTACGATAAGTAAGAATGTAAAGTACATCTTTTTATCAAGTTAAGATTCTGATTGTAAAAGTGACTTAAATTAAAGCTCGTTTGCCCGGTAAAAATACTATTTTCTACCGCTTTAATCCCTTACATTAAGTGATGGACAACTGAAAGATGACTACTGATAATCAAACTACAAACACTAGTAACACTGGTTAGTGATGTACACTATCTTTTATTTAAAGAAACAGTTAAAAATGTGTGTGAAGACCTGTAGCATTCGATCTGCACTAAGAAGGACTTGACACAAATGACAGTGATCACCACCCAGTGATCAATCAATTGTGAATATATCCCAGTCCTACAGGAGCTTGGTCGCGGTCCGGATAGCCCAGTGATAACGTCTCTGACTGTGAAGCTGGGTGACACGGGATCGAGTCCGTCAGGGAGCACCCGTTCCCTCAAGATTACAGGCACACCTTACTGACGAGTGCCAAGTAGCACGAAACCTAGATCCAGGGTTTCCTGTTGACTACCTTCAAACACCATCTTATCTCAACGTAGTGCACGCAATGTCGAGTCACCTGAACTAGTGGCCACATTACAACTTGGTCGATAGCATTCGATCTCCACTAGGAAGGACTTGATACATATGATATTTATCACCACCCAGTGACCAATCAATTGTGAAAGACTGATAGCGCTTAAATTAATGCTAACTAAATTACAACGTAGCTAAAGGAAAATTATGCGCATAGAGAAACATTTATGAACTTCATCAAAACAATAAGCGAGTTGAAATAACTTCCATAACTGGGGGTGATTAGTCAAGTGAATACAGAAAGATCAACATTGAATCTAATATGCGAATGAAAGTCACCAGAAATTCTAAAGGTGAAATTTAACATGTAAAAGAAAAATTCGAAGAAAAAACAAAAATCATACATCACTAGTGGGTTAATCGGTGATATGTAAATCTCGAAGCATTATTTTGGTCAATGTATCGGTTAAAATTGAGCTCATATTGTTACTTATTGTTTACCTACTTTTAGTGTCACTGGTAATGCCGTGTAAATGTCTTATTGGAAAATAACTATTTATAAAAAACCTGTTGACAATCAACATTAAAACATTTCAACGGAAATCTTTGGAGTTAGGTTTGATACTCGTTAGAATTTATGACTGAAATGTATCAAGAAGTTTGTTCCTCTGAAATTTAAATTCATACCTTTTTATTATTTTGAAGTCGGCACTTATTCTTTGTTAAAGACTAGTACCAGTAGATATGAAACTCAAACTGATGCCTTTTTGAAAACCACTTAAATAAAATATTTTAGTGCTGCTTTCAACAGTTACATTGAATTAATTTAAACTTTGGTCAACACTACAGGATAGGGTACAACAATAGCTACCTTTTAGCGACCAATAAGGAGAATGAAGATCAATCCTAATCTGAAAATCGAAAGAATAATGATGTGCATGTTTCGCCGAAAATCAGCAACTACATCGGAAACAAAAGTCATATGTAAACTTAAAATTTTTCTGATAAATTAGATCAAGGGATAACCTACTTTCTGCGAATCCGATTCATTTTCAAATGATATTTGTGTTGAATTTTCCAAAGGCGATTGTTCAAGCTTGTTACACTCATCTGGTGTAGTTGAATCAGAATGAGGAGAAATATGTGCGTTAATTGCAATCGCTGCTTCAAATGCATTTTGTTCCATCCGTTGAAACAATACACTAATAATCTGTGTAAGAGTTGCACGTGCTGTTGCTTGATTAATTGGGTTTTTTGTTGCCATAAAAATGTTATAACAGGTTCTTACAACAAGAAGGATATCAGCTTCATGAATTTCAACGACTGAGCTTGTGATTACAGTTAAGAGTGCCTTTAAGATTTGTAACTGAATGCCATCATCAGTTTGCACACCCTATATGTGAAAAAATTTGACGAAATACTCTAATATAATTGCTTTGAAAAGTGGTTGCGCTTAGAGAAACAAAATGGAAAAATAAGAACTTTCATAAAATGTCGAAGATGTGAGTTACACTGATCCTGTAAATCTCGAGAATACTCAGTCAGTCAGTCAGTCAGTAACAACGTAGAACTTCGTACGTACGTACATCAGTTCGAGTTGCCACACCACCTTAGCACAGAGATGCAGTTGTCGATTCAAATCCCATAGTGGTAGAGGTAGCAAGAGTATAAGAAGTTATCGGGAAGATTAGTGTTTGGAGATGTTATTTAAAGAGTATAATCCAGTGAAATAAATTTGGAAAGAGGAAAAACGGGACATGAAGAATTCAGAAGATTAGAATTTGGGAGAACACAAAGAGTGGATGCACCTGCGCCATTGCAAACGATTTTGAGCCATGTCGTTCAGGGTCTCTAACCATCGGTTACTATCATCTCGCGGTCCCCAACCAGGTAGTCTACACCTACCAACATGACTCAGTCCACTTGTCAGTGACTTCATGGACTTGTGCCATGTTTTGATTTGGCCGCCTCTAGCTTTCTTCCAACCTACTCCTATACCACTGAACATAGCACGTCGAGGTAGTCGGTGGTTGGGCATACGTAACACGTGTCCCAGCCATCTCAACTGGTGAAGTTTCACTACTTCATCAATTGATTTGCCATCCTTACCTAGTACCCGTTTTCTAACAACTGTGTTACCTACTCGATGGTCCCATGATATACGAGCAATGTTTCGAAAACACCTATGATCGAATACTAGTAACCATAAAGTAGGACGGGACGAACTGCTGCGCAGTAAACACGTCCTTTGGTTGATAGACGGATATCTCGCCTACGCCATAAATGACGCAAGTTGGCAAAAGCTAGTCGAGCCTTCTGTATCCGTGCTGAGATTTCGTCACACACCAACCACAAGGGCTGATGAGACTTCCAAGATAAGTGAAGCGGTCGACACACTCAACTACTTCACTCCCTATCACTAGTTCGGGTGTCGATGTAACCCAATCCTGAAGCAACATTTTGCATTTCGAGGGAGAGAATCGCATCCCGAACATGCTTGCATTGTTGCTTAGAGTGGTCAGAAGACTCTGCATTTTGTCAGCGTCTTCACCAAATAGAACTATGTCATCAGCATATTCTAAGTCAACAAGTGAACCTCCCGGTAGAAGTTCAACCCCTGGAAATTTAGATGAGGAGAGTGTTATCTCTAAAAGTACGTCGACCACAAAGTTGAACAAGAATGGGGAGAGTGGACAGCCCTGACGAACACCACTTGAGGTAATCAATTCTGATGACAGTTCGCCATAAGCTCTCACTCTACCAGTTGTGTTCGAGTAGAGAGCCTTTATAAGGTTAATGTACTTCTTTGGTACTCCTTTCAGTGACAAACACTGCCATAGAACCTCACGATCAACAGAGTCGAATGCCGCCTTAAGGTCGAGAAATACTACCATTGTGGGGCGTCTGAATGTGTGTCTGTGTTCTAGAACCTGACGTAGTGTGAATATCTGATCTATACAACCACGTCCAGGTCGAAAACCGGCCTGGTTTTCTCTAGTCTGCTCTTCACGAGCTTTGATTAGGCGTCGAAGTATTATTGAAGCTAATATTTTAGACACTATATTAGTCAAACTGATTCCTCTGTGATTGTCACAAGAGGACTTTTGTCCTTTCTTATAGACTGGCACAATCAGTGATTGAGACCAGTCAGATGGGATTACGTCCAGTTCCCAAATTCTACCTAAGACCTCAGTTAATCTCATTGCTAATACTGGACCACCATCCTTAAAAATCTCAGGAGTAAACCTGTCAGGGCCTGCTGCTCTCCCTCGTTTCAGATTTCCTATGGCTTTTTCAACTTCGTAAAGAGACGGAGGACCTACATTAACTTGCCATTCAGGTTGACTGGAGATCGTGGGAAACCGAAGTGTGGCTGAAGGCCAGTTGAACTGATCCCTAAAGTGTTCTGCCCATCGATCCAATCTCCTGGATTGAGAATGTATAATATGTCCATCTTTCTCTGAGATTGTTTCGCTAACAGTCGGTTTCCTAATCCGGTTTCCTTAACAAGTCTGAACAATTGTCTGCTATTACCTATTGCCGCTGCCTTTTCCATCTCTCTCGCTTTCGCTACCCACCACTGTCCACGACCATTGCGTAGACTTCTTGTCAGCTTGCGCTTAAGCTGACTCCGCTCCTCATTATGTTCAGAGCCAGGTGGAATGAGTTTCCGAGCATCTATCAGTGCGATAGATGCTGCTGAGATCCAGTGTTTCTCCCTAACCTTACGGGTTACCGTACTAGCAGATATCACTGCTGTTTCCACAGCTTTTCGGATATCATTCCATGCTGCCTCGGGGTGGGCATCACCTATATGGCTGCCTAACTGTTTTCCTAGTTGTTCCTGAAATATACTCTTAGCTTGACTATCATTAAGTAGGCCCTAAGAGGTTTACTTGCAACGTCTTTCCTACGTCCAGTAAGACGCAGACAGATACGCGCTCGTACTAGAGCATGATCTGAATCTAAGCATGTGCTCCAGAATGAGCGACAGTCTTCTATCGAGCCCCTCCATCGGTGGCTGATAGCGATGTGATCTATTTGGGCCCAACGTTGGGACGAATTAGGAGGTCGCTATGTTAAAAGATGTTTTTCCTTATGCTTCAAGTTAGTGTTTGCAAGGAACAGGCGGTTATCTGAGCATAGCTGCAACAGACGGTCGCCATTATCTGTTCTTTGAGCCACGATGCTATAAGATCCACCTAGGTGTCTTTCCCTATCGTTTAGTTTATCTACTTGAGCATTAAAGTCACCGGCCATTATTACTACATCCGAACGCCTAGCTTTAAGGAGAAGGTCGGAGAGCTTTCTGTAAAACTCATCTTTTACATCATCTGAGCTGCGGTCAGTGGGAGAATAGGCAGAGACGACGAAGAGGCAACGACGAGTGTCCCTACCTTTCCGGATTCTTACTGTTCCGTTCAGTCGGACAGCGCACAAACGGCTGTCTACTGGGATCCAGTCTAAGCGAGCTAGTTCTGCCCTAGGACTCAATGCTATGCCTACGTCGGCGAGGCCACGGGAAGCGGAATCAGGGCTTCCAGATACACGAAGTGTGAATCGAGTCAGTTCGTCATTTTGGCATGGTGAGGTCAGATGAATGACGCTACTTGGATCCTGTATGCGCGTTTCGGAGACGCAGCACACATCGATGGCGCGAGATTCTAAAGTCCTAGCTAAGGAAGCCTGTTGTCCTATTTGGCACAGTGTTCGTACGTTAAAAGCTCCTACGTGTAGTTTAGAGCGTGGTTTCAGGAGACCAGGAATAGCGTTCCGCGTACTCGAATCTTTTGCCCTAGCGGTGAGAGAATACTAAATAAGAACTTTCTAAAATCGATCGCATAGTTTCACAATATTTGGGCGCCGAGTTAATGTGAGACATTAAAGAGGAAGAATGTATTTGTAAAATCTCAGCGAAATAATTTAAAGTAAATCTAACGTTTCGCCTGGCAATATGGTTCAAGCTTCTTCAATTAAATATAATCAAACATCAAAATTATCGAATACAAATAGGTACATGGCTCTCCGGTTTACTGTACACTAAATAAGTCATCCAATGAACATTAACAGTGTTTAAAGTAATACTAATTATTTCCAAGTTTAAAACAGATTAAATGGCTTAAAACATCTATGTTACTATTTGAGTAGAAATACGTTAGATATGAGGCTTAAATAGAATTGGTAAATAGAGTTTATCTAGAGGAGTTGTAGCGTCTTTTCTATACACCAAGCTAGATCTCATACAGAGCTTTTTGTGATCAACTGTCGATGCCGTAGCTCTGTGTAGTACTGCCGCTCCTTTGGCTGTACTGATATGGATTCTAATTATCCTCTGGTATTCCTCAAATCTGGCTTGGGTTTTGGTGGAATTATGTTGCTTGGGGATGTTTTACGAATGTCATTTCGGCGACTTTCAGTGTAAATTGTTTGCCAACGGTGAGATTAAATATATGACCCTTATATTTTTATTTTTAATATTATTAATTCGTCCATGTAAAATACTTTATGGTAGCCTACTGTACTAAAGTTTTGTTTGGTATGAAGATGAAATACATATAAAAGCACTATATGTGCAGTTACTTTTTGATGTAGATAATCAGGAATACATAGGCTATATATATCCATCCTAACCATATATCCTGTTAGATATACATACTTCACATCGAGTATTATCGATAGGAAAATGTAAACGATCTCTGGTAGCGATGAAAACAACACAAGTTGTTGGTTACTGATTAACTTAACGTAATATTGGTAATAATTAAGGTCCGAAAACAAACTGTGTTGATAATACAAATTATGAATCTTAGGACTCACTTGGAAACATGAACATATGGTAGTTACAACTTGTTCAATTATACGAACTTTTCCAGAAGAGCAAACAGCTGTGTTTGGAATATGACCATAAGCAATTAACTTCTGCAATGAATCGACTGCTGTGCTGACAATTTTAGGCGATTTCATAGTACAGGCCAGTTGGAATGGACGAAGAAGTCTTTCATCACTCAACAATATACCACAGTCTGATTTTAGAGGTGGTAGATGTGTGCTAGATTCGTTTGTTGACGAGATTTTACTGCTCGGCAACACTTGTGGTTGTTCTTTTAGCAAGACAAGAGCCTCCTCACATGCCTTTTTCACAGCTGAATTGTTAGACTTACGGGTTTCGCGTTCGCTAGCGATTTTTTCAATAGACCTGGTTAGAAACATACTGAAGGCCTGTGATGATATTGAAAACTGGGGTTGCGGTATCTGAATTGTGTTGTCAGTTTCAGGAGTAGGAAAACTTGAGACGATACGTGTACTTGGTATATTTTGTTTTAAAGAGTTTAAGTTCTGCAATGGAAGTTCTTGATCATTTGGATTTTTGGATGAAATTGCCAGCATCTCATTTACCTCTCATCCAAAACTGGACATTTAGTTCAAACAGTTAAACATTAGACATGACGTTTCTGAAAAATTAAGATTAAATAAACAATAAGCTCAAATATAGGAACGCTGAAGCAGCATAAACCAGCCGTGGATAATCGCAGAACAGTCTTGACATGAGAACTGATGCAATTTTGCGAGAGCGTTTGTAATGAATGGAGTTAAGTAGATTTTATTTATTGAAAATGTTACAAAAAACTTTAGTACGTTATTCGATAGAGAATGAGGAAACCAACTAGCTAGACACAACGCTTAGCATACCTATTTGCCTCGAAGTGAGCAAATACATTATATATAATTATTTTTCAAATTACCATGTATGACCAAAATAGGCAAGGTAGTGTTGTGTAAAAAAGGCAAGACAGTCGATAGGTGAGTAGATGATTCAAAAAATCTATTTTTGACAAACAGACTTCAAGTTTGAAATTTACTTTGAGCACCTTGGTTTTAGAAGTCATAGGTTCTTGCTAAACTCCACTTGATATACATCAATTCATAGCACACATAGTGAGAGCAAGCCAAATGGATGCCAGTTAAGGAACAATTAAACTAAGAATCCTCTGCTATCTTACGACTGTGCAATACTCCTAACCGAAAGACATGAGGTTTATAGATATTCAACAACACATACCTTTGAAACTGTCTAGGGATGGGGAAACCGTCAAGGGGACAATTATGTAAAGCGTATACAGTACGTCAGTCAACAGTGCCCTAAACATACATTAAATAAGATGGAGGACAGACAAGACATACCGAATAGACGATAAGCTGACTATGTCGTAGGTTGACAAAGGCAGGTAAATCTCCTGAGCTTAAGTTATTCGCTGTGGCAACAACACTGAATATCCCTAACAGGCATACGGCTTCTTAAGGTTGTGACGTATAATTATAAAAAAAACAGTAACAGAAAGAGCGGCAAACTCCAGGTCCAAAAGTGAGATAATGCTCCTGAATATTCTAGTATGTCAAGTCACTGACTCAATGAGTTAATCTCCATAGGACCAACCGGAAGACACTACACTACGGATCATTTAATTGAGTGAGGTTGGAAGTCCTAAAGTATTATATTAAGATACAGGTGAATATACCCCTTCTAAATCTCCCAACTTATGAAAGTCGTGATTTGTAGTGATCGGATTGAATATATAACTGGATAGTTTACAGTTTGGGAAGGACAGGAGGCTCAATGGCCTATGTTAGTCCTGGCAATGGTGGTCTCTCAGTTGATCCAACTTTCTTTTGAAAGAGTCGACGGATGGAGCCTCAACCACGTGCTGAGGTAGTGAATTCCACTCGTTGATGATTCGATGGGAAAGTCGATAGTCAGCTGACAAGTAGTTTTTTCTCGGCTTATGAACTTTTTTGGAGTGTCCTCGTAAATTCTTTGTTTTGGAAGACAAGAAAAATGAGGGCATATCAGGTGCAAATTTATCACTAAGCAATTTGTAGACTGTAATCAAGTCGCCTCTAGTTCTGCGATATGACAACGGGAAAAGGTTCAGCTTGGCCAGTCGAGATTCATACGGAAGCTTCGCTATTCCGGGAATCAGCTTAGTTGCCGTTCTCTGAACCTTTTCCAGAAGCTCACTGTCTTTTTTAAGCAGGGGCTAGCCGCTTGTATGCAGTACTCAAGTTTAGGACTCACGAACACTGTATACAAAGTCAAAAACGTTTTAGCGGCGACATGACTAAAAGCTCTACGTATTGACCATAACGTTCTAAAACCTTTGGCGGCTATTGCACGGCACTGTGCAGTAGTCTTTAAGTCTTGACTAACGATAACTCCTAAGTCATTATATGTCTGGACGACAGGTAGCTCAGTGTTATTCATCGTGTATGTATCTGTGCCTTGATGACCGATATGCATCACAACACACTTGGAAGTATTTATCGGCAACTGCCATGTTTGAGACCATTCAGATAACTTCTTCAGGTCATTTTGAAGTTCTAAGCTATCACTCTTACATCGTATCGTTCTCCATATCTTGACATCGTCAGCATATAGCAAGACCGATGATGATAGGAGACAAGGAAGGTCATTTACATACAAGAGGAATAGCACTGGCCCCAAAACTGTACCCTGGGGCACTCCACTAAGCACAGTTTCCCAGCTAGATAACTTTGAGTTCACCCTTACTCTTTGTTGACGCCCAACTAAGAAGTCTTTTATCCACATCAATAAATTGCCTCCAATCCCGACTTTTCTTAACTTATATAACAGCCGGTTGTGCGGAACTTTGTCAAAAGCTTTACTGAAATCAATGAAGGCGACGTCTACAGGTAGCTTTTGGTCCTTAAGAGCGCACCAGCTTTCACGAGCCACTAATAAGTTAGTGAGACAAGAATAACCTATTCTGAAGCCGTGCTGCTTCTCCGAGAGGATCCGGTTTTTATCGAGATACTTAAACAGCTCCTTCCGAATAATCTTTTCTAAGATTTTAACAACCACACTAGTTAGGCTAACGGGGCGGTAGTTCTCAGGTTTGTGTTTCGTACCTGTTTTGAAGACAGGACTTACTATGGCGTTTTTCCAATCTTTCGGTAAGCGACCCTGCGTAACGGATAGGTTAAAGCATGTACTTAAAGGGCTTGCAACGAAGTTAGATAATTCCTTCAGTAGCCTAGGATGTAATTCATCGGGCCCCGTGGATTTACCTATGTCAAGCTTATTTAGCAGACCAAAGACATCGAGTTCTTTAATGGTCACGCTATCCAGTGTATGTATGGGGGGATCTGTATACGCTGACGGGAAGGGCGCTTCTATGGTATATACGTTGCTAAAGTAGTTCGAGAACACTTGAGCCTTACCAAAGTCGTCCTCCACTAATGATGAAGCAGTACTGTCTCCCCATAGAGCAGGAATATTTCCTCTTCTCTTTGTCCTTTGGTTTATATAGGAATACAAGCGTTTAGGACATTCTATGGATTCCTTAACAATCTTTTCTTCGTACAATTTTCTAGACTTACGGAGGGTCGAGGCACAAGTATTCCGAGCCTTTCGATACTGAGATTTTGACTCATCAGTCCCCAGTAACCTAAATCTATCCCACATTTTCCTTTTCTTACGGAGAAGGATACGGACCTCCCTACTGAACCATGGTGGTGAGTTTTTCGGCCCCTTTGGTATAGTCCAAGGGATGTGAGGTGTGGTAACTTTTAAGTATGAATTTCGAAATGCGTCCCAGGCCGTTTCAATGGAGGACTCTGGGTCTATTGTCCAATCTATTAACGATGCTGAGTGCATGATGTCTGGTATGTTTGCTTTCCAGACGTTGGGTCTGGACTGGACTGACGCGTCCTCATGACTGGCAGTTATATGGAAGTCGAAAGTTAAAACTGCGTGGTCACTTTTACCTAAGGGTGGCATATGATGGAGGTTCGCAACATCATCCTCATAGTGAGTCAGTATAAGATCTAATAAGGATGATTCAGTGTCCGGATCGTACCTTGTCGCTTCTTTCACATGTTGCACTAGAGCACATGTGATAACCGCATCAACTAGTTCCTGCTCGAAAGAATTCTCCGACGATTTAGTTCGCAGATTTTCCCAGTCTACCATAGGTGCATTAAAGTCCCCTAGGATTAGACATCGACCACTTTGGGACCAAGTATTGAGACTGCTTAACAGGATCTCATTTGCCTCACAGCTTGGACTGCGATAGACCAAACCAATCAGCAGCTCTTGTCCCTTGCATTTTAAGCGAAGACTAACTAATTCACACGTCCCACTCTCATGGGATACACTATCGATAATGGCAAATGGGATAGCATTCCTAATGAATAGAGCTACTCCCCCTCCTTTGCGCTTTTGTGTTCTGTCGGCCCTTACTAACGTAAAGCCCTCGAAATCAAGTTCTATACTATCTATAGCCTGTGTCAGCCAGGTTTCTGTTACTGCGATTATATCTGGCTTTGTAGAGTCAATCTGTACACCTAGTTCCGATCGCTTATTAAGTAAGCTTCGTGCATTGGTGTAACAGATCCGAAGCCTGTTTAAGTGCCTTCGTGCTTCACCCAGAGTGGCTTCGGCATCATTCTCTGTCGAAGTCTTACAACCCGAAAATTTACAATTTTCAGGTCCTTTTCGCCAGCGTCTAACCTATGTTGTAGTTCTTTCTCGGCTTCCCGTCTTTTAACACGGTCTGCCAACGGTAGGTCCTTTCGGATAAAGACTCCTGAACCCTTTAATTTGTGTCCATTTTGTAAAATTAGGTCACGTTCGTTCGAAGAGCCGAATACTACTTTAAGCAGTCTGGAATGATTTGGTTTCGAGTCCGCTAGACTCCCTAGTCTGTACACCTTTAGCAAGGTGACCCCGGTCATATTTTGAGGCATGAGTTGATTAAGCAGCTGCCTAATCAGTACAATGTCATGCTCAAAACGAGCTTTAGGTTCAGAGCTCTCGCTCTCCTTGATTCTATGAAAAATAGCTGATCTGTCGCTATGATCAGCTTTCGATTTTTCAACTACTTTTACGGGGGCAGGGTTCCCTTTTATATCCCTACTTTTCTTCCTTACAACCTGTACCCATTCGTCAACGGTGCTGGTAGAAGCAATAACAGTTGCGTCAAACCTAGTGTTGGATTTTGGGGGGTTGTCGACGACCTGAGAGGTCGGGTTATGTTTACCGCTTGAAACCGATCGAGCCTTGCGATTGCGGCTTCTAGGTGTTTCCTGTTGGATCCCATCTGGGAGACGGGGAACAGAAGACCCTACTTTTCTTGAGCTTTTGTTTAAGGCAGGCCCCTTTGGAGACTGCTTTTCCTTCTTTGACGGGCGTGAGTCATCTATCATCGGACTAACCTTAGTTTCCTTCACGTTGATTTGCGTGTCGACAGATCGAGTGCTGTTTGACGCGTTCCGACTATGCTTGCTAAAACACTTCTTTGCAGCATCAACCAGTGAGATGGCCTCGGTTAACAAGCTGTTTGCATCCGAGCAGCACTGTTGACAAAGCCATACACAACCCTTCTTACTGAACCGTTTGAAAGCAGCAGGCGTTAAGTTCGTGCAAACTTCGTGGTACCAGCCTTTGCACTCGTCGCACTGCATGCCGCTTTCAACAGGATAACGACAACCCGGACGTTGGCAACTGCTTTTTTTACACTGTCCGGTCATTTAGGAGGGTTCTTTTTCAAGATGCGATGATACTCAGAAACAAAAAAATAATCAATGACCAAAAAGTGAAGAGCTGTAGATTGCTAGGACCAAAAGTACTAACAGATACAGTTGAAAAAGAGGTACTCAAGAGTACCAACGACAAAACAAACAGTAAAAACGATACTTTAGTCGAATACTTTAACTGAAATAAATTCAATTAAAGTGAAAACAGTAGTCTTGATACGTAATAAACGATCAAAACAAACAAATTTACTCAGCGAGGAAAAATACCACTGTCCTTTTTAAATAGCTTTCTTACTAAAATGTAGTCCAGCTAGTAATACCATTGAAACGGCACGTCCCGCAACAACAGAGCATATCTATTTAAGACGAGGCTATCGAGGTTGTTATCTTGGCATATTATTTAACTTGTTGAAACCAAGAGGTCTTAAAACTGTGTATAGTTGATGAGTTTTTGATGTTTATAACAGATCCAGAAATAAACTCCAAAATAACTACTATATTAATCCACGCTTACTTTCATTTTATTGAGTTATTTTAGGACGAACAAAAAAACACTCACCACCTACAGACCAACATCAACGTCAAGAAACGTTTACAAACCCCGCTATTTACACTCAATACCCAATGAAAAACTAATTTATCAGCCTCAAATGATAGTAGATGTACATTGGTTGTTAAGTGATGATCTATAAAGTGGGCATTGTTTGAGGGAATCATTTCAAACATGCATATTTCAGATATATTCTGAAAACCGACAGCAATTACTACGGAACGCTACAGGTCGGCATGAAATAAGTGTATACATAGACCTCAGCAAAGCATTTGGTAAGGCGCCAAGAAACAGATTACTATTGAAGCTGGGAAATCTAGGCATTGTCGAACCCCTTCTAAAATGGCTTCGGGATTTCCTGGTAGGTCGTAGACAGAACGTAAAAGTGTATTAGAAGTAGTAGCCGTAAATAGATCCCCAAAATAAATAGCTCTGTAAGTTTTCGACATTTGATGCTGGCCCCATTAGTTTTGATGGACTCACCTAGCTGAAATGCTCGGTCATGCATCCGCATCAGATCACGAGTGGGAAAGCCGTGATCAACATCCCCTGCAATCTCTAGCCAGATTAAATCAGTCGGTCCTCGGTAAATTGATAGCTTATCAGATATATCTTCGAACCTCATTGCTTCTGTATTTTGATCTCACCTGGTCGGTACGACTCTTAGTAGAAGGTGTCACTGGTTAAAGCGTTGACAAACTCCGAATACCCGTGGCATCGTCAAAATGCTCCACCTGGAGTTCAGTACTCAGGGGAGTACTACAGGATTCTGTCCTAAGTCCTTTACCTTTTATACTGTACGTAAATGAATTCTGAAATATAATTGAGTCCCCAATGCTGCTATACGACGATGTAAATCCTTGCGAGAAATAACAGGAGACTCAGGTGCATGCGCACCCGGGCAGACTTAGCTAGCCCAAGGAGTGTCCTATGCCTATCAACGTGGCAAAGTGTGTCTACATGCACTTTGGAGATGCAAAAGTAAATAGGTACATCAGGGGAAAGTGCCTGTGTTCATGGTTTGGTCTCACAAAGATCTTGGTTCGACGGTGAGCCATGATCATAAGATCATGGCCCACTACGGGAGGTCGCAGTTAGGGGTTTAGAACACTATGGGCTTTAAAACGGACACTCATCAAGTTGGATACTGCCGTGTTCACTGCAGTATATATAACCCTTGTGAGAACTAAGCTTGAAAACTGAGTTCAGGATGCAAACTCCTGTTTAAAAAATGGCTCCGATATCCTGAAAAAAGCATAGAAGGCAGCTACCCGTGCGATTCCAGAACTCCGGGATTTGCCATACAAAGAGCGGCTTGAAAAGCTAGACTTCTTTACTCTGTCTTATCTCAGATTAAGAGGTGATATTTCGATGTATAGAATACTGGGAAATGATTTTAGACCTAGTATATCTGTAGTGGTATTGGTCCTAATTATACAATTTTCAAAGCTGAACATGAGATAACAGGGAAAATAGATATTCAAGATTTAACACGAAGAGAGGGGCAACAATGGTGAACGCGGGAATATTCATTCGATCGGATGGCATTGCTCGGCCTTGCAGACATGGTCATTCTCTATAACTTGCCTTTGCTCAGATTAAATATATTATTCTATCTTTTTATCTCAATGTATTCTTCACAACTGCCGAACGTCATGTCGCGGATTGTTACGATACGACGAGTCAGAGTAGATAATGATGTGACTTCCATGTAAGATCTTATAGATTAAGTTTTCACATCAAGACGAATGTACAATTTCAGGGCAAGATCTATTATTAGAGTAGTACTAATAACGAGCTAGACCATAGTTCTACAAACCCTCTCATTTTTCTTACCAATAGATCGGGACATTTTAGAAGACATAGCAGGTAAGTAGAAAAGCAAAGAATGAACAAAATACCTGTGGCATACAGATTTTTCAATAGAAGACTAGACACTTACAGAAGCATAATAGGAAAGGAAAAACATAGGCCATAGGATCTGATGTCCTTACTAAACAAAACAGGATTTGAAAAATCCGAATCTGAGAAGGTGTAGTGGCATTGGACAATAGCCACACAGTCCACAAAGCTGTGAACACGAGACTACTCAGAAAATAGATATTCAATATTTAACGCGGAGAAATACCTAACGATAGAGAAGGCGCGAACAAGGAGTTGAATGAACTTAGAGTTGATCGAGTGGCATGGCTCGGCCATGCAGGCGTGGTCTCATGCTGAATGTTACCTTATATCTTCTATTCATATTAAATATATTGTTCCTTCTCTAGCCTAACCTTGTTCTACATCATGTATTGGTAATTGATACGGTACAGTGAGTTGGCGTAGTCGATGGTGTGACTTACCACGTAAGATCTTATAGATTAGGCAGTTTATATCATGACAAATCTACAAATTTAGGATTAGGTCTATTATTAGAGCAGCACTAATATTATAGTGGATCATAATTCTACATTGGTAAGCCCGTCTAGAGAAACGCAACCTAATATTGTTAATCTTATTTCCATTCTAAACTTCTTGATCTATTTTGTATTTATGTTAACCCAATATTCTAACAGTCCTGATTAATGCTCACATGTATTATCGTAATGTCATATTGATTAGTTCTCATGACATACTAGCTCAGTCGATAATTAAAACTTGTCGTCTATATAAACTAATTAGCTTTGATGGTTCGTTAACAAGCTTTATTAGCATTTACATGCTTCAGCGACATAGACTTGTTTAAGCATCAAGCTCTAGCAAATATGACCTGTGAATAACGCAAATATACATTGACTAACAATGCAGCAAGAACTAAATTGCTACCTGGATCTAATATTCAGTGTTCCTTATCTTACCACCTCATCCTGTTTTAAACTATGCACTATCCTGTAATATCTTTTCTTCCGACCACTGCCTGCCTAATTTCATATTCTCGAGTTCCACTGCCAAACAACAAGGATGACACTTCTCCGAAAACATACGCTGAGTTTCAGCCATAAGTTTTCTGCAATCATAAGGTCATTTTAGATGGCTCATTCAATGGCACACAATTATCTGGATTCATTCAGTTGTTCTGATCAGAGTGAGTCCCAAAAACCTCGACAGCATCAAGCACCCTGGAATTAATTGCCATACTGCATGTTTTATTCTGGATACTTTTGGACCAGTACTACTTCTCACGAATGGCGTTATATATATCGTCCACTGAATAGTCTAGTTTTCAAAAATAATCCAGGCGAGTTCAACTATTTTACTGGTGATTTTTTTGTACTTAACATGTATATGTTTTCCAGTTGCTTTTGCCATATATTTGTAAGTGTCCCTAGGCTAAATGCATTAACTTCTTACGGATTGTTTATAACGCGTCATATTCTTGCCTGAAGTTCCATAAGCAGTCTTAACGTTAAAAGTATCTTTCTCATCATGTTCATTATTTTCAAATTGTCATATACGTCAACAACCTGCATGTTAACCTGGCCCATACATGCGTTGCACTATATCTTCATGTCTTCTAAATTTAGAAATCATTTGAATCACCTTTAACATTTATCGATAAACCCATAGTTGTTGTTGCTAATCGTATTTGGGTTTATAGATTGGTTTATCATATTAGCAGCCTAAAATGCGGACATAGTTTAGAATGTCCTGGTACGGCCGAGAGTGGGGTGAGTCCGCTCTCCCTCTCGAAATACTCTCACACGGCCGCGCGTATACAGCCTCTGCCAGGGAAGTCCTACTCATTGCCTTCTCGTGGCGGGGGTGTTGTTTACGAAAATGAGAGGACGAAAAGCGAATGTCCGGCGCTTTAACCGGATTCCAAACCAATGGTGCACATGGGCTCCAGTATCCTGCGGGAACAAATGGCGTATGAACCAATCGTTGGTCACCGGCTACCATGGGATTGCATCTCCTTACGATGCTCCACTGCCTTGTGGGTTAGACCTTTAGGTCAAAGGCTCGGGGAGTGGCCCCCTAAGAAAACCACCTGCTTCGGTTTGGGCACCCGGGCAGTATCACAGCCCACACACAAACGATGAACTCTATGTCTTTGGCAACTACTTTTATCGCTCCGAAAAACAATCAGTCGATTCAAATAATTATCATTACTATTATTGTCATTATTAATACTATTATTATTATTGTCGTTATTATTATTATTATTTCCCACATTATTCACCCTCTTTTATACTTATACAGCGGCTCGTCTTTGGTGGAAATCCGACTGTATCTAAACGTTCTCGAGTCACTGTCCGGTTGAAAATTGTATGTTACCACCGAATACGAGTACTGAAGCAGTTTTTCTGAAACCACGTGCACCATTCAAACTGGCTGCCTTCAACGTTCGCACACTTATGCAGGTCGGACAACAGATAGGGCTGGCTATGTCTTTGGAAAGTCTTAATATCGATGTTTGTTGTCTATCCGAGACCCGTATTCAAGACTCTGGCGAAGTACTACAAATTCGATCTCCATCTGTCGCTTCGAAAAGCTTGTTTTACGTGCGCTTATCCGGGGACCCTGTGGCATCTTCGTCTGGTCTTGCTGGCGTTGGTGTCGCACTAAGCGCTAGAGCTGAGGCAGCACTAGTCGATTGGATCCCCATTAACAGTCGGTTATGTGCTGTTAGATTAGAAAGTTCCATCAAAGTGAGAAGAAATCGGCGTGAGAAACGATGTCTTTTCGTCATCTCCGCCTATGCCCCGACAGATTGCAGCCCGGATGCAATCAAGGATGAGTTTTACCACCAGTTATCTGTTCTTCTCCAGAAAGTGCGTTCGACAGATATTGTAGTACTAGCCGGAGACTTGAATGCTCAGGTCGGGCGTCTAGGCACAGAAGAGAGTCGTTTAGGTGGCCGATGGGGACTCGTTGGTCGCAGGTCAGATAACGGGGACCGTCTACTGCAACTGTGCACAGACCACAACCTGTTTCTGGCTAGCACTAACTTTCGGCACAGTCATCGCCGATGTGCCACCTGGCGTCCTCCCTCTGCATCTCAAGCCTGGACTCAGATTGATCACATCGCGATCAGCTACCGCTGGCGTGGTTGTGTACAAGACTGCCGCTCCTTTTGGAGTAC